CGCACAGACACAGAATTGTTACTCGCACAGACACAGAATTGTTACTGAGGGCCACAGAACTGTTACTTAGGGCCACAGAATTGTTACTCGCACAGACACAGAATTGTTACTCAGGGACAGACAGAATTGTTACTGAGTGCCACAGAGAATTGTTACTTAGGGCCACAGAAAACGTTATTAGGGCCACAGAATTGTTACTCAGGGACAGACAGAATTGGTACTGAGTGCCAGAGAATTGTTACTTAGGGCCACAGAAACTTTAGTTAGGGCCACAGAATTGTTACTCAGGGACAGACACAGAATTGTTACTGAGGGCCACAGAACTGTTACTTAGGGCCACAGAATTGTTACTCGCACAGACACAGAATTGTTACTCGCACAGACACAGAATTGTTACTGAGGGCCACAGAACTGTTACTTAGGGCCACAGAATTGTTACTCGCACAGACACAGAATTGTTACTCAGGGACACACAGAATTGTTACTGAGTGCCAGAGAATTGTTACTTAGGGCCACAGAAACGTTATTAGGGCCACAGAATTGTTACTCAGGGACAGACAGAATTGTTACTGAGTGCCAGAGAATTGTTACTTAGGGCCACAGAATTGTTAGTTAGGGCCACAGAATTGTTACTCAGGGACAGACACAGAATTGTTACTGAGGGCCACAGAACTGTTACTTAGGGCCACAGAATTGTTACTCGCACAGACACAGAATTGTTACTCGCACAGACACAGAATTGTTACTCAGGGCCACAGAACTGTTACTTAGGGCCACAGAATTGTTACTCGCACAGACACAGAATTGTTACTCAGGGACAGACAGAATTGTTACTGAGTGCCACAGAATTGTTACTTAGGGCCACAGAAACGTTATTAGGGCCACAGAATTGTTACTCAGGGACAGACAGAATTGTTACTGAGTGCCACAGAATTGTTACTCGCACAGACACAGAATTGTTACACAGGGACACAGAACTGTTACTGAGGGCCACAGAAACGTTACTTAGGGCCACAGAATTGTTACTCTGCACAGACACAGAATTGTTACTCGCACAGACACAGAATTGTTACTCGCACAGACAGAATTGTTACTCAGGGACACAGAACTGTTACTGAGGGCCACAGAACTGTTACTTAGGGCCACAGAATTGTTACTCGCACAGACACAGAATTGTTACTCAGGGACAGACACAGAATTGTTACTGAGGGCCACAGAACTGTTACTTAGGGCCACAGAATTGTTACTCGCACAGACACAGAATTGTTACTCGCACAGACACAGAATTGTTACTGAGGGCCACAGAACTGTTACTTAGGGCCACAGAATTGTTACTCGCACAGACACAGAATTGTTACAGGGACACAGAACTGTTACTGAGGGCCACAGAAACGTTACTTAGGGCCACAGAATTGTTTACTCGCACAGACACAGAATTGTTACTCAGGGACACAGAAATTGTTACTGAGGGCCACAGAACTGTTACTTAGGGCCACAGAATTGTTACTCGCACAGACACAGAATTGTTACTCGCACAGACACAGAATTGTTACTCAGGGACACAGAACTGTTACTGAGGGCCACAGAATTGTTACTTAGGGCCACAGAATTGTTACTCGCACAGACACAGAATTGTTACTCGCACAGACACAGAATTGTTACTCAGGGACACACTGAATTGTTACTGAGGGCCACAGAACTGTTACTGAGGGCCACAGAATTGTTACTCGCACAGACACAGAATTGTTACTCAGGCACAGACAGAATTTTACTGAGGGCCACAGAACTGTTACTGGGGCCACAGAAATGTTAATCAGGGACACAGAATTGTTACTGAGGGCCACAGAACTGTTACTTAGGGCCACAGAATTGTTACTCGCACAGACACAGAATTGTTACTCGCACAGACACAGAATTGTTACTGAGGGCCACAGAACTGTTACTGAGGGCCACAGAATTGTTATCAGGGACACAGAATTGTTACTGAGGGCACAGACAGTTACTGTTACTTAGGGCCACAGAATTGTTACTCGCACAGACACAGAAATTGTTACTCGCACAGACACAGAATTGTTACTCAGGGCCACAGAATTGTTACTTGGGGCCACAGAAACGTTATCAGGGACACAGAATTGTTACTGCAGGGACACAGAACTGTTACTTAGGGCCACAGAATTGTTTACTCGCACAGACACAGAATTGTTACTCGCACAGACACACAGAATTGTACTGAGGGCCACAGAAACTGTTACTTGGGGCCACAGAAACGTTAATCAGGGACACAGAATTGTTACTGAGGGCCACAGAACTGTTACTTAGGGCCACAGAATTGTTACTCGCACAGACACAGAATTGTTACTCAGGGACACAGAATTGTTACTCAGGGACACAGAATCGTTTAATTAAAGAGTATGTCAGACAACATGCAGAGGAGTGGCAGAGGAGGCAATGTTTTAGGAGCGAGCAGACGTGGCAGCAGAGGAAGGGGTCAAGGCAGCACTATTCGCAGCCAGAGGCCAGTGCTCCCGGTGTCATCCAGCGGTCGTGTCTCCACCGACAACCCTGCCGTCATCGATTGGTTGGCTCGGTCGTCTTCCTCTTCCCAGGTCACCTCTGACACCTACAGCCAACGGTCGGTGGGTACGTCAGACACAACCGTTAGTTGGCATGGCCCGGGACCAAGCCCACTGAAATCACGTGTCCTCTACCTGCCCCTGTCCTTTGGTGTTCCCTCACCAAGCGAAGTATCGCATGCTGTGGGCTCAGCCCCACTGTACAGTGAGGAAGAGCTAACAGAGGGCGGTCAGGAACGGGGGGGACACATCCCTTTTCAGCAGCCAGGCGAAGAAGTAGTGGCGAGGAGAGTGGCCCGGTAGCCGGTCTAGAGACAGGTCTGTCTCCTGACCCAGACGCAGCCGAGGGGGCTAGTAGTGAGGCGGAGACCCTACTTGATGATGAGGAGGTTGATCGCACTTGGCAGCCTCGTCGTCATCAGGCAATTTCTTCCGCATCATCAGGAGAAGAGGGTGGCAGCTTGGCAGTGAGCGAAACAGTCGGTGGGGTTGCCCAGGAGACAGCAGCAGCAGCAGGGTCGCAGCAGTGTCAGTGTGGAGCCAAACGGCCCACGGAGTAGAGCACAGCTCCACTGCAGCCTACCACCACGGCCAGTAGTAGTGGTGCAGGGTGTGCACGGAGGAAGCAGCAGTCAGCCAGTGAGGAGTATCGGGGGCAATCCTACTTCCTACTCGGCGGTGTGGCAATTTTTCGTCAAGCCGCCCGAGGAAGTAAACGTAGCCGTATGTCGACTATGTGGCCAGAAAGTCAAGCGTGCCAGGGGGCCCATGTTGGGACTACAGCGTTGCGGCAGCATATGCAGCGTCGCCATTTGGTGGCCTGGGAAAACCGTGATAAAGATACGGCGGTTCTGCCCGCCCCAGCCCCCGCTCCATCACCCTGCTCTGTTACTTGCTCCGTCTCTGCCATGTGCCACTTTCAGGTCTCCTCACACTGCTGGTGTGTTGAATTTTTTTGACATAGGGTGCTGGCAGATTACGGGCCTCCCATAGCTGCTGCCAGGCCCCTAATCTGCCATGGGCCCCTATATACCGCCTCCTCATGCTGCTGCAGGCCAGGTCCAGAGTCTCTCATGGGTCCCTGTACGGCCTCCCATTGCTGCTGTCTCCATCGCCACACTCTGCCATGTGCCACTTTCAGGTCTCCTACACTGCTGGTGTGTTTTCAATTTTTTGACATAGGGTGCTGGCAGATTACGGGCCTCCCATAGCTGCTGCCAGGCCCCTAATCTGCCATGGGCCCCTATATACCGCCTCCTCATGCTGCTGCCAAGTCCAGAGTCTCTCATGGGGTCCCTGTACGGCCTCCCATTGCTGCTGTCTCCATCGCCACACTCTGCCATGTGCCACTTTCAGGTCTCCTCACACACTGCTGGTGTGTTGAATTTTTTGACATAGGGTGCTGGCAGATTACGGGCCTCCCATAGCTGCTGCCAGGCCCCTAATCTGCCATGGGCCCCTATATACCGCCTCCTCATGCTGCTGCCAGGTCCAGAGTCTCTCATGGGTCCCTGTACGGCCTCCCATTGCTGCTGTCTCCATCGCCACACTCTGCCATGTGCCACTTTCAGGTCTCCTCACACACACTGCTGGTGTGTTGAATTTTTTGACATAGGGTGCTGGCAGATTACGGGCCTCCCATAGCTGCTGCCCAGGCCCCTAATCTGCCATGGGCCCTATATATATACCGCCTCCTCATGCTGCTGCCAGGTCCAGAGTCTCTCATGGGTCCCTGTACGGCCTCCCATTGCTGCTGTCTCCATCGCCACACTCTGCCATGTGCCACTTTCAGGTCTCCTCACACACTGCTGGTGTGTAGAATTTTTTGACATAGGGTGTGCTGGCAGATTACGGGCCTCCCATAGCTGCTGCCAGGCCCCTAATCTGCCATGGGCCCCTATATACCGCCGCCTCTCTGCTGCTGCCAGGTCCAGAGTCTCTCATGGGTCCCTGTACGGCCTCCCATTGCTGCTGTCTCCATCGCCACACTCTGCCATGTGCCACTTTCAGGTCTCTCTCACACTGCTGGTGTGTTGAATTTTTTGACATAGGGTGCTGGCAGATTACGGGCCTCCCATAGCTGCTGCCAGGCCCCTAATCTGCCATGGGCCCCTATATACCGCCTCCTCATGCTGCTGCCAAGTCCAGAGTCTCTCTCATGGGTCCCTGTACGGCCTCCCATTGCTGCTGTCTCCATCGCCACACTCTGCCATGTGCCACTTTCAGGTCTCTCCTCACACTGCTGTGTGTGTTGAATTTTTTGACATAGGGTGCTGGCAGATTACGGGCCTCCCATAGCTGCTGCCAGGCCCCTAATCTGCCATGGGCCCCTATATACCGCCTCCTCATGCTGCTGCCAGGTCCAGAGTCTCTCATGGGTCCCTGTACGGCCTCCCATTGCTGCTGTCTCCATCGCCACACTCTGCCATGTGCCACTTTCAGGTCTCCTCACACTGCTGGTGTGTTGAATTTTTTGACATAGGGTGCTGGCAGATTACGGGCCTCCCATAGCTGCTGCCAGGCCCCTAATCTGCCATGGGCCCCTATATACCGCCTCCTCATGCTGCTGCCAGGTCCAGAGTCTCTCATGGGTCCCTGTACGGCCTCCCATTGCTGCTGTCTCCATCGCCACACTCTGCCATGTGCCACTTTCAGGTCTCTCCTCACACACTGCTGGTGTGTTGAATTTTTTGACATAGGGTGCTGGCAGATTACGGGCCCCCATAGCTGCTGCCAGGCCCCTAATCTGCCATGGGCCCCTATATACCGCCTCCTCATGCTGCTGCCAGGTCCAGAGTCTCTCATGGGTCCCTGTACGGCCTCCCATTGCTGCTGTCTCCATCGCCACACTCTGCCATGTGCCACTTTCAGGTCTCCTCACACTGCTGTGTGTGTTAGAATTTTTTGACATAGGGTGCTGGCAGATTACGGGCCTCCCATAGCTGCTGCCCAGGCCCCTAATCTGCCATGGGCCCCTATATACCGCCTCCTCATGCTGCTGCCAGGTCCAGAGTCTCTCATGGGTCCCTGTACGGCCTCCCATTGCTGCTGTCTCCATCGCCACACTCTGCCATGTGCCACTTTCAGGTCTCCTCACACACTGCTGGTGTGTTGAATTTTTTGACATAGGGTGCTGGCAGATTACGGGCCCTCCCTATAGCTGCTGCCAGGCCCCTAATCTGCCATGGGCCCCTATATACCGCCTCCTCATGCTGCTGCCAGGTCCAGAGTCTCTCATGGGTCCCTGTACGGCCTCCCATTGCTGCTGTCTCCATCGCCACACTCTGCCATGTGCCACTTTCAGGTCTCCTCACACTGCTGGTGTGTAGAATTTTTTGACATAGGGTGCTGGCAGATTACGGGCCTCCCATAGCTGCTGCCAGGCCCCTAATCTGCCATGGGCCCCTATATACCGCCTCCTCATGCTGCTGCCAGGTCCAGAGTCTCTCATGGGTCCCTGTACGGCCTCCCATTGCTGCTGTCTCCATCGCCACACTCTGCCATGTGCCACTTTCAGGTCTCCTCACACTGCTGGTGTGTTGAATTTTTTGACATAGGGTGCTGGCAGATTACGGGCCTCCCATAGCTGCTGCCAGGCCCCTAATCTGCCATGGGCCCCTATATACCGCCTCCTCATGCTGCTGCCAGTCCAGAGTCTCTCATGGGTCCCTGTACGGCCTCCCCCATTGCTGCTGTCTCCATCGCCACACTCTGCCATGTGCCACTTTCAGGTCTCCTCACACTGCTGGTGTGTTGAATTTTTTGACATAGGGTGCTGGCAGATTACGGGCCTCCCATAGCTGCTGCCAGGCCCCTAATCTGCCATGGGCCCCTATATACCGCCTCCTCATGCTGCTGCCAGGTCCAGAGTCTCTCATGGGTCCCTGTACGGCCTCCCATTGCTGCTGTCTCCATCGCCACACTCTGCCATGTGCCACACTTTCAGGTCTCCTCACACTGCTGGTGTGTTCAATTTTTTGACATAGGGTGCTGGCAGATTACGGGCCTCCCATAGCTGCTGCCAGGCCCCTAATCTGCCATGGGCCCCTATATACCGCCTCCTCATGCTGCTGCCAGGTCCAGAGTCTCTCATGGGTCCCTGTACGGCCTCCCATTGCTGCTGTCTCCATCGCCACACTCTGCCATGTGCCACTTTCAGGTCTCCTCACACACTGCTGGTGTGTTGACATTTTTTGACATAGGGTGCTGGCAGATTACGGGCCTCCATAGCTGCTGCCAGGCCCCTAATCTGCCATGGGCCCCTATACCGCCTCCTCATGCTGCTGCCAAGTCCAGAGTCTGTCATGGGTCCCTGTACGGCCTCCCATTGCTGCTGTCTCCATCGCCACACTCTGCCATGTGCCACTTTCAGGTCTCCTCACACACTGCTGGTGTGTTCAATTTTTTGACATAGGGTGCTGGCAGATTACGGGCCTCCCATAGCTGCTGCCAGGCCCCTAATCTGCCATGGGCCCCTATATACCGCCTCCTCATGCTGCTGCCAGGTCCAGGTCTCTCATGGGTCCCTGTACGGCCTCCCATGCTGCTGCTGTCTCCATGCCACTCTGCCATGTGCCACTTTCAGGTCTCCTCACACTGCTGGTGTGTTCAATTTTTTGACATAGGGTGCTGGCAGATTACGGGCCTCCCATAGCTGCTGCCAGGCCCCTAATCTGCCATGGGCCCCTATACCGCCTCCTCATGCTGCTGCCAAGTCCAGAGTGTGTCATGGGTCCCTGTACGGCCTCCCATTGCTGCTGTCTCCATAGCCACACTCTGCCATGTGCCACTTTCAGGTCTCCTCACACTGCTGGTGTGTTCAATTTTTTGACATAGGGTGCTGGCAGATTACGGGCCTCCCATTGCTGCTGCCAGGCACGTAATCTGCCATGGGCCCCCGTACCGACGACTCCTCATGCTGTGACGTTGCAACAAGGTGGAATTCAACCCTACATATGTTAGACCGCCTTTACGAACAGCGAAAGGCCATCACAGATTTCCTGATGTTAAAAGCGGATAAAGGTACTCCCTGTGTAACTTAGATGTCAGCCATTGGCAGCTCATGCGTGACACCTGCGCTTGCTCAGGCCCTTTGAGGAGGCCACGCTATTCGTGAGTCGGCAGGACTATGGGATGAACGACGTCATTCCTCTGTTGCACGTCCTGGAACAAATGGCTGTTAACAATGGCTGGTCAGGGTGCGGTAGACGTGGCGCACAGATCTCAACGCCACATGACCCCTGTGGGGGCAGGACAGGAAGAAGAGGAGGAGGTAGAGGAGGACATTGGTGCTCAGGAATTATTGAGTGAAATGGGTGGTTTTTCCACTCAGCGGACAGGAGTGGAGGAGCAGGAGCATCTGGTAGAGGAGGAGGAGGAGGAGACAGAGGACCCAGACGCACCGTGGCAGTATGCTGTGGAGATGGAGGCAGGGAGTCCCTCGCATTCCTTGGCACAAATGGCCCATAGCATGCTCGCTTGCTTGCGTAGCGACAGCCGAATAATAACCATCAGACAGAGGGATGACTTTTGGCTGTCCACCTTGTTGGACCCTCGCTACCGTTCAAAAATGGTGGCCTTTTTCACACCTGCTGAGAGGGAGGCCAAAATAACGTACTATAAAAACCACCTATGTAGTCAGCTGGTCTCTGCCTTTCTGCGCCAACGTCCATCCTCAGACACTGTGGGCCCTGTGCGCTCGCGTTCCGCTGCCATGGCAGCAGGGGAGGGGTGGGGTGGTAGGAGCAGTGGCAGCTCCACCAGCAGCGGCTGCCTCAGTCTGCAGTCGATGATGAGTAGCTTTCTTCACCAGCGCAGTGAGGAAACTACTAACAGCCCAGCCGCAGCAGCAGCAGCATCAGGTGGACCTGGAGCAGGACCTCAAACAACAGGCTTAGGCCTACTTGGACAGCACCCTGCCAACCGAGGTAGACAATCCCCTTGACTACTGGGCAACGAAACTTGACCTTTGACCCCAACTAGCTGAATTTGCCCTTGAAAGGCTGTCATGCCCGGCCAGTAGCGTGGCATCGGAGCGCGTGTTTAGTGCGGCAGGAGGTATTGCAACTCCGCGGAGGACACGACTGTCCACCCAAAGTGTGGAGAGACTCACGTTTGTGAAAATGAATCAGGCGTGGATTAGTCTGGATTTCAAACCACCAGTTCCTGACACAACTGACTAAATCCGCCATGAATCATGCCCCAAACATGTGCCACTTTCAGGTCTCCTCACACACTGCTTGTGTTTTCAATTTTTTGACATAGGGTGCTGGCAGATTACGGGCCTCCCATAGCTGCTGCCAGGCCCCTAATCTGCCATGGGCCCCCTATATACCGCCTCCTCATGCTGCTGCCAGGTCCAGAGTCTCTCATGCCATGTGCCACTTTCAGGTCTCCTCACACACTGCTGGTGTGTTCAATTTTTTGTCATAGGGTGCTGGCAGATTACGGGCCTCCTATAGCTGCTGCCAGGCCCCTAATCTGCCATGGGCCCCTATACCGCCTCCTCATGCTGCTGCCAGGTCCACAGTCTCTCATGGGTCCCTGTACGGCCTCCCATTGCTGCTGTCTCCATCGCCACACTCTGCCATGTGCCACTTTCAGGTCTCCTCACACTGCTGGTGTGTTCCATTTTTTGTCATAGGGTGCTGGCAGATTACGGGCCTCCCATTGCTGCTGCCAGGCCTGTAATCTGCCATGGGCCCCCGTACCGCCTGGTCACGCTGCTGCTGGGTCCACAGTGTGACATGGGTCCCTGTACCGCCTCCCATTGCTCCCCACTCTGCCATGTGCCACTTTCAGGTCTCCTCACACTCCTGCTGGTTTCCATTTTGTCATAGGTTGCTGGCAGATTACAGGCCTCCCATAGGTGCTGCCAGGCCCCAAATCTGCCATGGGCCCCCGTACCGCCTCGTCACGCTGCTGCTGGGTCCACAGTGTGACATGGGTCCTTGTACCGCCTCCCATTGCTCCCACTCTGCCATGTGCCACTTTCAGGTCTCCTCACACTCCTGCTGGTTTCCATTTTGTCATAGGTTGCTGTATGGCCTCCCATTGCTGCTGCCTCCACCGCCACACTGTGGCTCCAAACACTGGTTTTGGCCCCGTGACTGGCCAAATGAGTGAAGTGTGCGGTGATTCTAAGATCGACGGCACTCATCTGCATGTCACTGAGTGACAGTATTATTTCTCTTCCCCAGCAGACTCCAAGGGCATTTAAATTAAAGGTACAGTGTTCTGCACTAATATTAAGTCTCTCTGAAGCCTAGAAACACCCTTTTTTAAGTTAAATTCACAGCGAATTTATTCGACTCGAATCGAATTTTGGGGACATTCCCTCCATACAGCGGTTGAAACTGCTGTATGGAGTGAATGTCCCAGAACTGTCAGAAATAGACTATTTCTGACAGTTCTGGGACATTCCCTCCATACAGCGGTTGAAACCGCTGTATGGAGTGAATGTCCCAGAACTGTCAGAAATAGACTATTTTTGACAGTTCTGGGACATTCCCTCCATACAGCGGTTGAAACATTGTATCTATTTGTTTCCATAAATGGATCCATTTATGGAAACAAATAGATACAATGTTTCAACCGCTGTATGGAGGGAATGTCCCAGAACTGTCAGAAATAGACTATTTATGACAGTTCTGGGATATTCCCTCCATACAGCGGTTGAAACATTGTATCTATTTGTTTCCATAAATGGATCCATTTATGGAAACAAATAGATACAATGTTTCAACCGCTGTATGGAGGGAATGTCCCAGAACTGTCAGAAATAGACTATTTCTGACAGTTCTGGGACATTCCCTCCATACAGCGGTTGAAACCGCTGTATGGAGTGAATGTCACAGAACTGTCAGAAATAGACAGAAACTGTCACAGAACTGTCCTTCTTCTCATCCTTCTCCTTCTTCTCATCCTTCTTCTCATCCTTCTCCTTTCTCATCCTTCTCTCATCCTTTCTTCTCATCCTTCTCCTTCTTCTCATCCTTCTCCTTCTTTCTCCTTCTTCTCATCCTTCTCCTTCTTCTCATCTTCTCTCATCCTTCTCCTTCTTCTCATCCTTCTTCTCATCCTTCTCCTTCTTCTCATCCTTCTTCTCATCCTTCTCCTTCTTCTCATCCTTCTCCTTCTTCTCATCCTTCTCCTTCTTCTTTCTCCTTCTCATCCTTCTCCTTCTTCTCATCCTTCTCCTTCTTCTCATCTTCTCATCCTTCTCCTTCTTTCATCATCCTTCTCCTTCTTCTCATCCTTCTCCTTCTCCTTCTTCTCATCCTTCTCCTTCTCCTCCTTCTCCTTTCTTCTTCTCCTTCCTTCTTCTCATCCTTCTCCTCTTCTTCTCATCCTTCTCCTTCTTCTTCTTCATCCCTTCTCCTTCTCCTTCTTCTTCTCCTTCTTCTCATCCTTCTCCTTCTCCTTCTTCTCATCCTCTCTCTTACCTTCTCCTCTCATCCTTCTCTTCTTCCTTCTCCTTCTCTCATCTCCAAGGGCATTTAAATTAAAGGTACAGTGTTCTGCACACTAATTTAAAGGCTCTCTGAAGCCTAGAAACCCTTTTTATAAGTTAACTTCGTAGCGAATTAATTCGCATCAAATCGAATTTCATACTGGAATTTGCCGAATCAGCCGAATCGAATTTTTGAAAAATTCGCTCATCTCTACTAGTGATAGATTTCTGTCACTGCAACGATTTTACACAATGTGTTATTGTTGAAATGTGTTCTGTTGAAAAATCTGGGCTTTGGCCCTTAATAAAAATTAAAAATTAAAAAGAAAAAAATTAAGCCAGTGATCAATAATTTTATTTCGGATTTATGCTGGAGATGTCACCGGGCAACAGGTACACTCCTACATATATGGTGGGACTGTCCGCTGCTACAGCTCTTCTGGAGAAAAGTTCTGGACATAATCACACAAGTAACTACGTACACCCTAGACTTTACCCCCGCACCAATTTTTACTCCATCACTCTTCACTTCCTTTTAGGACTTATCGTAAGTCGCTTGCCTTACATATGATAAACGCGGCAAAGCAGTGTATTCCTGTCCATTGGCGATCAGACTATGTTCCCACCTTACGAGAGTGGCTTCTTAGGATCATCAGGATTGCGGAGATGGAGGAGCTGATTTCAGTGGCAAAGGAACACCCCGAGAGATTCAGGAAGACTTGGGCTTGTTGGACTCACTTCCAAACTACTAATCTTTATCGCCGTTTAATGAATGAATGATTGAGAAGAGATTTGGAGGCACGGAAAGCTTTTAAAGCTTTCACCTCAGGAATAGCTCCATAGATGGAGTCTAACCGGACTGTATCCTAAATTAAAGATAGAATCTTTGTCAGTTTGGCTGTTGTCTATTGATGTGACTGGTTTAGTTGCACTTATTTAATCATGGACCCCCCTCCCCCCCCCTTTTTTTTTTCTTCTTCTCTATATATTTTTCTTTCGTGCTCTCCCCCCGCCCCATTATGATGTTACTTTTCATATTTCTCTTCAATGTACGCACCCTTCTCTTTTCTTTTCTTTTCTTTTCTTTTCTTTCTTTCTCTCACACCTTTTTCATATTCTAACTAATCATATACTTCATAAGGAACAGAGCATCCATACATGTACAGGTGTGACTGTTATTTACAAAACTAACCTACATTTTCCGGATACGGATACATAGGACATACATGCCTTCAGATGGTACTTCTGCCTTACGCTTCATGGTCCTGTTATCTGAGAACTCCCTACACAGTGGATTAGTGTCCATCATA